TTTTATATATATATATATGTACACACACACACATACACATATATATTAGCTCTCATAAAAAGTGAGAAGACCACCCACCACATGGAGAATATTTGAAAATGCTAGAGATAAATTAGAGAATGAATAAAATGAAAAAGTACCTTGGAAGAAGCTCATGTTTGATTGTTTTCAGATGCAACAGAGAATTTTCTTCTTCTTCAAATTTAAAAATTTCCACTGTATTCTTGAATTCCGGGTGGTTTACAACAAAGAGATAAACTGTGTCATCTGAAGAATTGAAAGAACAGAGTTAATTTACAAGACATAACCACAGGACCTCTGGGCAGACACTGACATTTAAATACCACGGGCAAGGAAAGGTTGAATGTATAAGCTGGTAGAAGACCTAACAGATCATTCTTCTTCCCCATCTTTCCCGTCACTGTCTGTCTGGTGTTATTTCTGATCATTGGTCCCCTGACCTTTAAGAAAGTGTTTCCTGCACCGTATACAGAATTCATACATAATCTGTTTATAGTTTAATTCAGAAATACAGCTCTTTTTAAATACAATGATCATAGGTATATGAAAAGGTTATGAAATCTAAACATTCTTTCAGGTGTTAACTGTTAGAAATTTCAAAATGTAGCACAGCTTATTGCTAGCTGAAGAAGCAAATGAACAACTTGTTTGTATGAAGAGTACAGAAATAATTCATGAGTTAATTGTTCTCTTCCTATAAACATGATCCAAATGTATCTTCTACAGTCATTTCTGAACCATTATATGTTTCTAAACATTGGTAGCTCATTGGCTCTTACCATTGTCTATAAAAGTGCTGATGCCATGTGGATTAAATGAAGCCAAATTAAACCCACGGCTGATTCTTAATTCCAGTGCCCTCGGTTTTTCTTCTTTTAGATCCATCATTAATATTGCCCCAGGCTTATATGGTGCAAAGGTGTGGAGTCCTGGAAATTTTAGACCCTTTCGAAAACAGTAAAAAAGTTAGATAAAAAGGCTTATGTGTTTTTATGGAATAAAGTGGGAACTACACATGAATGACAAATAGAGACTGTGGTTAAAGGTGGTAGCATAAAGCCACAAGCACGCACACACACACACACACACACGCATGCATGCATACAAAACAGAGAGGCGATAATAGAAAAAATATTGAACAGGACCTGGAAAGCTGAAAGCTGAACAATAGCTGATTTTGTTGAGTTGAGACAGAACATCAGGGTTTATTCTCTTCAGAAGGTAACCAGAAGGTTGGTGGGCTAGGAGATTCCAGGCAGAGTTGAGAATGAAGACGATAAACGTTTACAGCCTGACTGTGTAACTCTCAAGCCCCGAGCCTGCAAGCTGCTTCCACAACGCCCGAAGTACTGGTCAGCGGCCGCAGCCAGTACTCCCCTCCTGGCCTCACACCTCCTCTCCAACCCATCAGCAAACCCTGTTGATTTCATCTTGAAAATACATCCTTTTATGAGCACATCAACAGTCTCACCACTGGCTCCATGGCTGCCCTGGTCCAAATCCCCACCATGACGATGGCAACTGCCTCCTAACTGGCCTTCTGCCTCTGTCCTTAACTCCCCACTGTCCACTCATACCTCAGCATCCAGATAACATCGGACCATGTCACACCTCTGATCACAACTCTCTAATGGCTTCCCATCACCCTCCCAATTAAAAGCAAATCTCTTCTAGTGGCCTAAAGGCCCTGTGTGATCAGCCCTTCTCCTCCATCCCACCCAAGACACCTATTTCTCTGCCTTCATCTAGGATGCTTCTTCCTCCTTGATGTTCTTCAACCAATCAAGGACACTTTTGCCTCAGGGCTTTTATACACTGTTCACTCTGCCCGGGAATGCCTTTCCCCCAGACATCTGGGCTCCTTTCCTCCATTTCTTCATATCTGTGCCAAATGTCACCTTCTCAATGAGGCCATCCCTGACCAAAATATCCCCTTGCCCTGGCACATCCTGTTCTCCTTACCCTGGTTTACTTTTCTCCCTTGCCTTTATTGCCATTTGACATACATACATATTCATGCCTACACAAATATTGCGTATTTAGGGAGTGAAGGGCAGAAACAGAAAGGCTAATGAGGAGATCACTGTTGTTCCTGGAGCACAGGTGTGCAGCTCCTCCCCAGGCCTTTGTGCTGCTCTTCTTTATGCCTGTGAGGCTCTTCCTCCCACATCTGCAAGATTCATGCCTCCCCTCCATCTAATCTCTGGGTAAATGTCACTTACCAGAGAGACCTCATCTGCACCCATGCTAAAATGGCAACATGATGCCATCCTCACCACAGCTGTCACGCTCCACTGCCCCACCTTACTTTATGTTTTGTTAAAGCACTGTCACCATCTGACACATATTCACAAGCTCCATTAAAACACAGGCTGGGACTCTGTCTTTTTGTTCACTGCTAGATTCCAGCTCCTGGGACAGTGCCTGACATATATGCATCCTTTCCCCACTGACTCCAAATGTCACCTTTGTCATGTACTAGAGCCCCATTTACACATTGGTCTATTTGGGGACTCTCTGTTTTGGTCTTCTGATCTTTTATGCTTATTTCTGTGCCAGTATACCACTTTTTAAATTATTACAGCTTTATATATAAGATATAGATACAGATATATATGATATATATGGGAGATTACATTGTTCTGAATGGAACATTATTATTATTACATTTTTTTTTCCTAGTACATGGGGGGGTCATTTTATATGTTCATTTTGAATCCAAATATTTCACTGAACTCTCTCCTTTTAGTTCTCATAGTTGAATCTCTTGGCTTGTTTGAAAAACAGGTAATCACATTATCTAAAAATAATGGCAGCTTTGTCCTTTTTTTCCCTATCTTACATTTCTTTTTCTCGTTTCCTTGGGTTATTAAGAACTCTAGTAGATTACTGACAGTTGTGGGGTTGGGCCATTTTCTTCCTGATCTAAACATCAATGGGAATTTGGCTAATGTTTCACCATTAAGACCGATGTTTGCTGTAGGTTTCTGGGAATTTTCCTTCTCTTTCTAATTTGCTTGGAGCTTTTAATCAGGAAGGAGTATTGAATTTTGCTAAATGCTTTTTCAGCATTCACTGAGATGATCTTGGTCTTTTCTCTTTTAAATCAGTTAAGTAATAAATTATCTATCTATCTATAAAATGCTGATTCATCCTTACATTCTTAAAATTCTTCTTGGTAATAATAAATTTTACTTGCACTACTTTATTCAGTTTACTAATACAATGCAGTAATAGTTTATGCAAATTTAAGGACACGATAAAAAAATAAAGTCTTACATTATGCACAAAATTGGACATAATAGGAAATCCTCCAATTTAAAAAAATCTATCTACAATTGCACAATTTCATGGCTGGCAGGCCCAGTAAAGTAGAACAAAGTGGAATTATGCTCTTGCTACATGGCACTGCTACTTCAGCTGTTAATAATCTCCATTTTTTATCAGTGTCCTAAAACAATAGCATGGTTTATATGCACCGGAAGCTCTATCAGATGGTGATCACTATTCATGGTTATTTTAACACTCCCTATTATGTAATCTTTTTTTTCTCTTTTTAAAAATTTATTTTTAATTGTAGTAAAATATACATAACATAAAATTCACCGTCTTCACCATTTTTAAGTGAACAGTTCAATAGTGTTAAGTTCACATTGTTGTTTAAATTTTTTAATATTCTATTCTATGTCATTCAATCCCTCATCAAGTGTGATGTTAGTTTTAAGGTTACCCTCCAACCCATAACTGTGAAATAAATTGGGTTAGATGAGCCAAAATGCTAGGAAGAATAAACAACCCCCACGAAGTACTGGCCTGTGAGCTCTGGAAAATGTTAGAGACAATGCAGAGTAAGTGAAAAGCGAAAAACAGCAGTAAAGTGGGAATGTTTCTAAATTTGCAAAAGAAAAAAAAGAAAAAGGTCAAATAACCAAGAAAAGATAACAGGAAAAAGCAGAAAAAATTCTATTGACATGGTAGACCTTTGCAACTGTAATATGCCCCTAAACTGAAATGATATAGATTTATGTGCTCAGAGACCTCATCCCTCCTACTTCAGATTCATTTCTGTGGGAGTTGTGAGGAAATCTTGATATAGATCAATTCTAGGTCACACAAATCTCCAAGAACACATGCTTGCAAAAAACAAACAAAGATTTGTTTGCAACTACTTTCTACTTTATTCAGAATTTTTGCATCTCTATAAATGAATGGTTTCAACCAGTAGTTCCAGTGTTTTTTCCTAACCCTATAGAAGCATGTGCTTCTAAACGAACCCAGATTCCTGCTATGAATATCACTTCATTCATTCTGTGTTGGCAATTACATGAAACTTTTCTCTTAAAACCTTATTTTTTAATATTAAATGTAAGTATTGGTGTTTCTGCTTAAAGCCCATAGTATTTCTTTTTTCCCTCAATGGTAATAACCTACTGCTCACAGTTCTTCGTATAAAAACCATCAGGAACCTGATGAGTGTTCTGACCTCATTCTCTTCCAAGCTGAGTTCTCTCACCTTTCTGGTAAGTCTAACAACTATTTTATTAGTGTGGTGACTCTCTTCTAAAGTTTCTCCAAGTTTATCACATCCCTCCTGAGTCTCAGAGCTTGAAAATAATGGATGTTGGAAGGGAATAGAATAATTACAGGCAGAGTTTAGAGTGGGATACTTATTCCTCAAGAACAACTAGACCCATGAGGTGCCAAGGACTCGTACCTCTGCCCAAGCTAGAGAGGCAAGTGGTCAGAACCTCCTCATCTGCCCCCTTATCTGGATACCCAATCAGAATGGATATTGTAGGAAGCCAGCATCACACAAGCAGATCACTTTTAAAGTGTTTCTATTGTATGCCCAGAAAGGATATTACTTTTTCTACAGTAAGAATTAAGGCAAAGTGAAGGGTATAAATAAACTCAGTTGATGACTTTCCACTTAAGACGGGCTATTCAGGGGGCAAAAGAAAAAAAGAAAAAGCATCAGCCTTGGTTTGGCAAAGGTGGTATATTGTTTGAAAACAAATAATAATGGCAAGAGTATTTGTTTAAAATTGAATATCTATTGGAAAGAAGGGTAGGTAGATGCTGTATTTAAAATAGTATAATGGTAGTATCGAATATCCATAATAATACCTCAAATATCTTTTTTAATAACACACTCTTAAAACACAGATTGCAATGAAATATTTCATGGCAATGCAGTGGAGAAATAAACAGCAACATATCAATTGGCAAAGAGCCTTCATCTCTACATTAAGAAAGGCTTGAGGAGACGTTTTCCAAGATCCTCTTTGACCTATGTTTCTTTCAGAACATATTTTGGAAAATGGGGAATGTTAAAGGCAAGTTACTGTTCCACAGGTCTTATCAAATGTCCTTATACCTCCTCTGTTGAATTTGGGGAAGGAAGGAGACACTCACCACACTAAAGAAAGCCAGACCATTGGGAAGTATGTCAATATCTCCAGCGCCAGCTTCTGTAAGTTCAAGGAATAGATAAATGTCATGTTCAAATTCTGTTATTTGTTAGATAGAGCATAACTGGGACTTTGTTTACTTTATCAGAGTGTCTGTATCTTTAGGGATGGTTCTAATTTTTTTTCCAAGGAACCATTCTTTTTAATAAATGTCAGTTTAAACCCCCTCCTGAAGTGAACTTCTGACTTTAAATGTTAGATATTTTATGTTTACTCAAATCAAAGTCAAGTTATCACCACATCTCCAGCTACAATACAGAAAAAGTTGACATCTGTATACTCTTATGATAAACATCCAGATGTCTGTATAAAAGTAATTGACATCAGGGGAATATACTTTCAGCAGGAAGGGCTCATAGTCATTTAACCATGCAAATATCCTTGTCCTCTTCTCTGCTCATTCAATCTGAAGCAAACAGACATTTCTCTCATTAACGGAGATAAAACACCTGGGATTACGTATTCCCTCTTTAAAAAACAGTGCCTACTTGTTCTCATAAGCAATGGAACTTTTCTATTTAATCTTTAAATTTAGGCTTTAAATTACAGAAAAAACTAGCAAAAGAAAATTAATGAAAAATACCACACACCTAAGCCAAGTTGAAGCTTCTAACTCCCATCTGTGAGGCAAGCTACAATTACTATTGATTGTTTATTGATTGAATGCAGTACACTCCACACAGCACAGCAAATAATTAGATATAAGACCTTCCCAGCGGTCTCACTGTATAAATTCCACAGACAGATAATAGACCCAAACACAAGAAAAGAGGAATAAAAATGGCTTAGATTAAGCCAAATTATGACACATTCTTTGAGTCCACAAAATCCAATCTTCCCCTTTTAGACCTCTCCAAAGGATTTTTCTAAGATTATTTCTAGGTTGTCAAAACCAAACAGCGTCTATCTATACAACCATTAGATGGTTTTGATTCATGAGTTTACATTTAGCCAGTTGCCCCCAGTTTTGCTTGCTCTATCATAGTGAGAAAAGCAAAATCAAATAAAAATGCCAAGAACTTCACTTTGTAAATATGACCCATCTCCCTGTTCCTCAGGAAGAAGATACATATAAATAAGCTTAAGCATGGTATAGTGGAGGGGTTCTCAACCTGGACCCTATGGATCCCTAAAGAGACACAAATGGGCTTCGAAAAATATACGAACCTTCTGAAATTCTATGCAATGCGCAATGTCTCATGTATGTACAGATGAGAACTTTTCTGTGAAAAGGGTCCTTGACTTTCAGCAGATTCAAAAAAGGATATACAATTTCCCCAAAAAGATTAAGTACCACTAGACTTCAGTCCCACAGTGGTTCTCCACTGGGAATGAGCAGAAATCACAGGAACTCTACACTACATATACATGCATACACATAGACAAGCATTCATGTGAACACACACACACACACACACATGGAATTCTAGTTGAAGTTTTGCTTTTTGGACCCATTTAGTAGAAGTTCAATGAATTAAGACTTGTTTTTCCTGAAAAATTATTTAGTAAAATGTAATTACAATGTATACATGCTTACACACATAGAAAAAAAAGGATATATAGAAAAAAATTAATAATGATTCTTGGAGTGGGAGGATTATAAGTGATTTTTATTTTCTTTATACTTTGTTTAAAATTTTCTATAAATAATAACATTGTTTTAATAATCAGGAAAAGAACAATCCTTTAAAAAGATACTTTTATTTCAACCACACTGTAACTTCTTTCTGTTTAATTCCATTGTCTAATTCCAACGGAAAAAAATGAGTCTTACCTCTGACCTTCTTTGGAATATTTTCTAGAACTATTACCCAATCTCCATTTCTACAGCCACTACCACAATAGGCTTTTATCATCTCATATCACCTCTTTGGTGTGATTACTGCAAGATCGGTCAATGCCGGATAATTTTTTCTACTCTAATTCAATAACAACAATAATAATAGCTACTAACATACATTAAGTGTTTACCAAGTACCAGGCTTTTTGTAAATATCTTGTATATAATATCTCATATAATTTCATAATACTGAGAGGCAATATTATTATCCTTTATTTTAGAGTTGAGAATATGGAGCCTTTGAAAGGTTAAGCAAAGTGCTCGAGGTCACAAACCGAGAAGCTGAGACTCAAATCCTTTGGTCTAACTTGAAAGCACATAGAAAATATTCAAGCTAGCATTCAATGAATATCCTCTGTCAGAACCATCCCCTGGTTGCTCTGTCTAAAGACACTTCACTTTGTAAACTCAATTCCATATGTTGGCTTTTCCCCTAAAAGTTTTGCTTCCATGCTTCTCACCAAATCTTTACCAATCCATATCTTTCACTGTTCTTTAAAACTTCTTTCAAGACCCTTTTCTTTAGAAAATCTTCTAGCTTAGCACATCTAATTTTGATCCCTTCTTATTACTTTGTCAGTTACCTGTGTCAGAGATGGCCAGGTGTTCACTAGTATCCATATTCTCCTTCCTTTTTACCAATAGGCACATGGCAACATAGCTACAGACAACATTTCCCACCCTTTCTTGCTGATAGATGTGGCCATGCATCTAAATCTGGGTAAATAAGATGCGACAATGCAAGATGTATGCAACTACTGGGTAGAATAAAATACAGATAATAGCCATGTAAATTTTCTTTCTACACTTTCCTGCTGGGAAATGATAACAACCAGAGTTCAAGTGTTGGACAAAGACTGAAGCAATAGGTTGAAGACAGTTGTGTTGCTTCATTAGCCTTCGTCCCTGAGTGACCACACACAGCACAGTCATCTAATCACCCTAGGCCACTAGCTTACATTAGGACTCATATATAAAAGAAAAACAAAAAGAAACTTCTCTCTTCTCTAAGCTACTATGACTTTATAACAGCAAATCAGCCTTTACCATACCCAACAGAGTACCCAACATGGAATGCAGCACATTATTTTCCACTCGGTTCACTAGTCAGGTATATTAATCACCCTGCCAAAAGATACCATATTGGGAAAAGAATTTGCAAAAGTCACTTTACCTCTCTGAGCCTCAGGTCCTTATCTCTTATAAAAAGAAAAAAATGTATCTATAGCTTACATTGGTTTTTTTGGTTTTGTTTTGTTTTCCATTTTTTCCCCCATAGTTAGATTGTAAAGTACTTGATGACAAGGGCTACAAATTTTAATGCTTTTTCTTTCAATCTCCCAAGCAGCAGTTATTGTAAAGGTCTTAGCTGCCAAATGCAGAAAACTGTTAGTTAACTCAAGAGAGACAGTCCATTCAAAATTTTGTTTTAGTCCAGTCTCGAAAGGCCAGACATTTTGAAAATATGTTTTTTTTTTAACATTTAAGCCTCACATAAAGTTAAGTAGCTTTTTTTTTTTAATTTCAAAATATTAAAGGGGTAAAAATGTTTTTGTTTACATGGATACCTTGTGTAATGCTTAAGTCAGGGCTTTTAGTGTGCCTGTCACCAGAACAGTGTTCATCATACCCAATAGGTAACTTTCTATCCTTCACCCTCCTCGTACCCTCCCCCTTTCTTGGTTTCCAATGTCCTTTACATCTCTTTGTGCCCATAGCTAGCTCTCGTCATTATAATTTTTACTATGTATATGTTAATATTATGCCAAATCTTGGGTATGTAAAAGCTTAGTTTCTGTTTGTAAAATAGACTGGGAAGGAAAAAAAAATGGAATAAATAGTGTACTTACTTTCACTATTCACTATTCTGTGTGCCCTACAGAAAGCAGACATCCTATATGATATGTAGTCAATAACTATGATTTATTAAAACAGAAAGGTATGATATGATATCATATGTATAAAGCACCTAGGAGTTGCAAATAGTTCATTTCCATTGATCATGAATGCAGCATTGCAGCATGTGTAAGCGTGTGTGTGTGTAATGTTGATGGTGATACAGGGCAAAGAGGAAGGGGTCTCACCTCTTGGATGGATTAGCTGGCCTCAAGTGCACAGCTATGACTGTTTTCAAAATAGAAAGTAAAAAATCGTCCTCTCTACCATTGCTACCTACAACAAGAAGTTGCTTTTGCCTATATGGGAACGTATGTCCAGCACACTGTTATTCCTTATAATCAAAGACCATTGAATAAGCAACTGTTGTTAGAAATATAGAACCACAAGTTATTATTAACCATTATGCATCACTAACATAGCATTCAACAAATGTTCATATGGTATGTGCTAACCACAGGGCAAAAGCAAAAAAGAAAGGAAAAAAAAAAAAAGCACAATTCTAATTAGATCTAAAAATGTATCCCAAATGTGCTTCTAATCACTCATCCTCTCCGCTCTGCTGCCTTTTGAAGTGCCTCAGAGGCATTAAACACTTCACAAGAGGGGCCATAGGTGACATATTTCCTCATTCTTTCCAATTCCAGACAGCAGCTCACACACATCACAACATAAAGGTCACAAACACAGACAGATGCCTGTTCAGAATACAAATGTTGCTGGGCTTGTTTTTCTCTGAGGAGCGCTCCATCCCAGTGAGTCATAACAGGGATACACTTGGCAGTTTGTCCTGTAATGTGTCTGGTTGTGCCCTATTGCCTACTCTGAGACTTGAATTCACAGAAGGTGGGCTTCCCAGGGCTAAGGGCTGTTTAATAATGTGACAATTATTAACTCAGCAGCAAAAGTAACCTAAGAGATCACTGACCCCACCTCCCAACCTTGTCCAACATCCCTTACAGATGCCATCTGGTATGTGCTCAGTGACCAGTTCTCAGGGGGCTCTTCTCTATTGCAGCCAGAAGGCAGGATGAAACTGCTGAGTTACTCGGGACTCCAGAACAACTTTAGTTCTAGAACCATCTGTATGATCCAGCACAGATCTAGTCAATCTGCTACTTGACACTGAGTTTACATTCTCCTGCTAATTGTTTGGGCAACTAAAAGAAGAGAGGAGAAACACCAGCAGAGTTAACCGTTCTAGGTAAGAGGAGATAGGACTGGGAAAATACAAAAGTAACAAGGAGAAAAAGAGAAAGAACACATAGGTAACAGACCTCTCAACAATGAGAGGCAAGCAACAGATTTGTACAAAAACTTTGAAAGCAGAAAAGGTTGCTCTGCCCACTGATGGTTTGTTTTTGCTAAGAGAGTGCTGTGAATCCTGTCTGGAGTGAATGTGCCTACAACTATGAAGTGTTGAGTCTATTAGTGTTGCCAACGCGAGGGCAATTTAGCAATGACTATCAAAATTTTAAACATGTATCCTAACTGAATAACAATCCCAGTGTTAACAATGTATTCTACAGATATACAGTGCAAGAGCAATGATGTTCACTGATTCCTTTGTAGTTGCAAAAAACTGCAACACCCCAAATGCGCATTAAAAGGGGACTGGTTAAATAAATCATGGAAAGGGAAAATATTAAAAAGAATGAGGTAAATCTATATGTGCTGATGTGGAATGAAGCGGGTTGTGGAATATTTATACCAAGATGCCATTTATGGGGACAAAAAGGCATGTATGTATATGCATATATTTGTTTGCATATGCACTGAAATTATCACAAAGGACAAAAAAGAAGCTTTATCTCTGGAGTTATTTCTATGGAGGGTTGGAGAGTTTGCTGAGAGATTTTTGTTTTCTATTTTATATCTTTCTATACTGTTTGAACATACACTGTTTATATGAACTTTGCACAGAAAAATTCTGTGTAGTTGTTAAAAAAAGATCTCTGTGTACTCACATAAATTTTCACAACATGGTATTAAATGCAAAAAGCTGGTTCTGAAATATTATGTATAATTTTACCCCACATATGTTTTTAAAAATTGTATATGTGAGACTATTTATAAGTAGACAGAAAAAGTATGAAAGGACACTCAAAATTTGTTTAACAATGTTACTTATTAGGAGAGGAGTAGGATACTTCCATATAACCTGGATTTTAATTTTTTTTTTTTTTTTTTTTTGAGACAGAGTCGCACTGTGTTGTCCTGGCTAGAGTGTCGTGGCGTCATCCTAGCTCACAGCAACCTCAAACTCCTGGGCTCAAGCGATCCTCCTGCCTCAGCCTCCCGAGTAGCTGGGACTACAGGCATGCGCCACCATGCCCGGCTAATTTTTTCTATATATTTTTAGTTGTCCAATTAATTTCTTTCTATTTTTGGTAGAGACGGGGGTCTCGCTCTTGCTCAGGCTGGTTTCGAACTCTTGAGCTCAAACAATCCGCCCGCCTCGGCCTCCCAGAGAGCTAGGATTACAGGCGTGAGCCACCACGCCCAGCCGATTTTAATTTCTTAAAGACAAAATAAAACATCAAATTTTCTCTCTCACCTCTAGAGAAGAATGTTGCTATAAAGGACTAGAAAAGACATAGTGATAATCTAGTTACTTCCACACTGTGGCTCTTGGAGTAAGATTGTAAACAAAGGGTCCAAGATTTTTTAAAGTACAAAAATACAAAGGCCAACTTTGCCTAAGGTCACCTTGCAAGTTTGTGGCAGAATCAAAACTAGAAACTAGGTGTTTTGACTTCTAACTCTTTTTGTTTCTAATAATACCATGAACCAGCTCTAAGAAAAGCCAGTATTTTTATTGTTCATGGATAATCCAACAGTTGGTGGTCAAACAATGTAAGGTGTTGAACAAACATTTTCACATACATACCAATTCCTTTAATCAGGTGGCAGTTTGGAACGTCTGGGAATTCTACTTCTCTGGAGGCTTTAAGTCGATTTCTGTTAAAAACAAAACAAAACAAAACCTATTTGTTTATGTAGTCCCTGCTTTGTTTCAGAAAATGTTTAAAGAGGCTTGTAGCAACACATAAAACACAGCGTAAATCTAAAGCAGATGAAAGAGAAGATAGAAAAACAAGGGTGGGAACATAAAACAGCACCCGAAATGAAGTTAAAACAAAAGTGCATATCACGAAGTTCTATAGAGTGGTGTGGGTTGTAAGAGAAGCTAATAACTCAACAAATAAAACCTGTAATGCAAGTTCCTACCGATATATAAACACAGTACCAGGTTCTCACAGCTCTGGTGTTGTGGGAAGAGTTCCAGATGCACAACCCAAAACACTGTCTTCTGAAGAGCCAAACAATAAAAAAAGTGACCATAAGCCTCAGTCCCTGAAAGGGGACTGAGAGAAGATGGCACTTTTCGGTGCCTGGCACTCAGAAGACACACACAAATAGTTACTAAGAAATGAGAAGAGAAGGCCCCATCCCCATGACAATATTTACTGGTGTGGGAAGGTTGGAGAGGACCAACTTCTTTTGCAACTACTTTAGCAAAACTATAATACTTGCTATTATTGTTTCAAGAAAACTAAAAAGAAGAAATAATGAGAGAATTTGAATTGTCATAGGGTATCTTCCCCCATCCTTTCCCCCTAGAGGGCCATACAGCAGTTTGGGCCAATACATATGGGATCTATTGTTTCGAAGGCCACATACTATTTATTGGCTTTACCTCTTCTCTTCCATTTTCTCACCTTCTCTGTTCTCTAGAGCCATAAATAATAACAATAGTGCTTGCAGAAAACTTTTACATTTTTCAAAGTGGTTCCTATCACACATTTAAGAGACAAAATAGCAATTTGCCTCCTGTCCCTCTCCTATTTGTAAACCTGACAGCTTCTGGCTTCTAGACACCGAGGAAGGCTTCTAGAATATGGGGAAGGCTACTGATTTCTCAGCAAAATGGAATAAAACCTATGTCTACATAACCCAGAACTCCTGATAGGTTGTACCAACTATATATTTTGGCAATTCGTGTAAAGTTTCTGATTAAAGTGTTAATCAGTATGTATTTGAAATCACATAACTCAAATAGTATCAAATTTCTTGGAACAATATAGCAGTGAAGCAAAGACTATAAGTAAATCAATAATAAATAAATATATAAGT